AACCCAACCTGCCAATCTGTCCAATCCTTTTAAGTTTGAGCAGATTATTGACCCCCGCCCATTTATATGTTCAATTCATTTGAACTCATTAAAAGTTGGATTGATATGTACTAACCGGAATTGGTTCATGAAAAATCTTATCAAACTTTTTTTTCTTTTCAATTTGATATGTTATATATAGGCATAATAAAATAAAGAAATTTTTGTTAGGTACTAAATAATTATTTTAAAAGACCAAGTAAAACAATTAAACTTAGTTAAAAATTGGATTGGATTGAGTCTTGACCTGTTATATAACTCATTACCTAACTTATTTTGGCCCAATCCTGACTCAAACAAATTTGGATTGAATTGGGTCTTGACCCATCTTTGTCATAACCCTTTATAACCAGCTCAAATTTGGCTCATCCTGCCTAATTACCACCCATAAAAATGGCATTTTTGAGACATCAAGACATACACTTATGTAACCACTTTTTAACCTTGCCAACACAATATAGAGGACTTCTCAATATTATTTCCTTCGTCCATTTTTAATTACTTCGTAATCGTTATTTTTTCAGTATATTATTTTAAAACATTGTATTTATTATATTTATGGATAATATAGTAAAATTGTTATTCATGCTATTATTTCTTTAAAAAGTATTAAATCAATACTGAACAAATAAAAATAGACGGAGAGAGTAATAAGTGACAAATTACCTATATTCAGAGTCAAGAGAAGAAGTCCATGTACCATTATCTTTGATCCGCACTTTGATGAAACAAAAAATGCTCAATTGAAATATGTCATAGTTTGAATGTCTAAATAAAATTTACTAATAAATTTACAGAGTTGGTGTTACGTTAACTAACGTGCCTCCGACCTCAATCTAGATAGTACACGCACAAACGTATGGATAATTGGGAAACTTACAGAAATTCACTAGTTTAGGAGTTAATTTGCAATATTATGAATGTTATCAGATTTTGGTGTGTCCAGATACATGAGGTCCAAATTAGGTGTAATTTGTTATAGATACACTGTATCCAAGTGGATTCGCATATATTTGATATTCACAATAAATATCGCTCGCCTCGCTCCGATCTGGCTCGTCACTCTCCGATGTATTTGATATCCCAAATAATCACACCAGATACATGCATATATACATGTATATATCTAGTGTGTATCTAGTGTGAGTGATTATCTCGCTCGCCAATCTCTCTTCCTGTTTTTGTGTATCCGGTTGCAAAATTACATGTATCTAGGTGTATCTTCCTCAATATATATATGGTAGGAAACTCTTAATTAGTACTCCCTCTGTCCCTAATTACTTGTCCACTTTTCCTTGTATAGTTGTCCCTAATTACTTGTCCATTTTGACAAATCAAGAAAGGACAAAATAATTTTACCTATTATACCCTCAATTAATTACTTTGAAAAAGGTACAATTTCTTGAAAATCTTAAATTTTTAATCCATCTACTTCATAATTAATTGGGGTAAAATAGTAAACTTACTATGTCAATAATTACTTTCTTAATAGGCGTGCCAATTCAAAAGTGGGCAAGTAATTAGGGACAAAGGGAGTAATAAGACACGTACTTATTTGAAAAGTATAGGTAGAATTAGTATATATGATATGAATGTATGTTTAATTAAGATAGTTTTCCTGTCATATACAAATAATTTTAATCCTAAATTCATGTCATCCCAAGAAAATAATAGGGGAATTTTCGCATATAGCCACTCTAAAATAACTTAATTATGCTTCATAACTATAGTTTGCTAATTACGATTCGTAGCTATATGTTAGAGGGAAGAGAGAGACGAGAGAGATTGAGAGAGGGAGGAGAGAGACCGGCGAGAGAGGGTAGAGAGTGGAGAGAGATGAATTGTATATGTATATATGTCGAATTGTATATGCATATTTATCAAATAATTGTATATATGTAACTGGTATACCTATGTATTTATATATCTGACGAGCGATATTGAGGAGAGAGCCGAGCGAGATTAGGAGAGGGAGGAGAGAGGCAAGCGAGAGAGGGCAGAGAATTGAAAGAGGTGAACTGTATATGTATATCTTTTAGATAATTGTGTGTATGTGTGTGTGTGTATATATATATAGCTGATATACATATGTATTTGTATATCTGACGAGCTAGATCGGGAGAGGGAGGAGAGAGACGAGCGATATTGGGAGAGAGGAGAGAGACGAGCGATATTGGGAGAGAGGAGAGAGGCGAGCCAGAAAGGGAAGAGAGTCTAATTGTATGTGTATATCTGTCATATAATTGTATATATATGTATATAATTTGTATTTGTATATATATAAAAGAGGACAAGTAACGTAATTACAGCTAAAATTAAGTTGTGAGCAGTAATTAATTTAAACTATAACTATATTAGCTAATTAACTAGTATATGTTTGCTTTTCCGCGTAATTTTCCCAAAATAAAATTACCCTCCACACAAATCCATTTCTTTTGTCATTCAATTTTCTTTTCTTTTCCCTTTATGCTCCTAAATACACGTTGAAGAAAATTGTATATAACAAGGGCTGTTTTTTCTATTATACAACTGCGCGCACACGGAGAGATAAAATAAAAATAATAAAACAAGATAATATACATAAATATGGTTGCCTTGACTTCTATAAATTTATAATCTACGTGTGGAGCAAACCTTAGTTGGTGGGTTCGGAACAATTTCACATATGATCACTTAATTTTTATTTTATTATATCAAAGTTATTAAATTATTTTATATTATAAAAAAATATAACAAGAATAACATATTCAGTATAATTTATAAGTTTTAACTCAAAAGATATATATTCAATCTTACGATTACTTACTATTCATTAATTATTTTATGATAAAAATTATTATATCCTCCGTCCAACAATACTTGTCTACTATTGACTATGCACACTTCTTAAAAAACTATAAATAGAAGGATTATTTTAAATATAGTAATAAATATTAAATACAATGTTTTGAAAAATGTAATAGAAAAATGACTATAATTAATAATAAGGCAAATTAGAAATTAAATTTAAAATTATCTATTGATTTTATAAAATAGATAATTAAGTATTATTGAACGTTCTGAAATAATATAGTAAACAACTATTATTGGATGAAAAAAAACCCAGTTGTAGCCTCCAAAAAGTCAATAACTTCAATTAAACACACGTGGGATAGCGGCAATTATTTTTCTTTCTCCATTCTAATAGCCTCTTATGGATTTTTTTTTTTTTTATGGGAATTAGAATTTAAACTTTATAATAAATGCAAGATGTAATTGGGTCAAACTTTAGTTAATCTGTTGTCACATGTTAAGCGTATACTATACTCATATATAAGAACTTAAAAGAATAAAATACTAATTATTAGTAATAATCGATCAAAAATGATGTCATTTTAAATCTCTTTTATATTATAACTTGTCATTTTTGTTTGGCATAGTTTGGATTTTAAGAGCTTGAAAATTATTTTTATACACCTTTTGAACATTTTAAATTTATTAATTATTTTACTTTATAGTTTTTTTTTTTTTTTTTTTTTTTTTACCCTCCCTAGGAGCTTCTATCCATTTTTGCTCCCTTGGTGACTCGAACTCGCAACCTTTGGGTTGGAAGTAAGGCTGGGCACCGGAACGGGTTGTACCGGTACCATTTCGGTCCGGTAGTATTCGGGACGGGATGGGATACATTGAACCGGTACACGGAACGGAACGGTACCATGATTTGGTACCGGTATACCGGTACCGGTTCATTCCGGTTCCGTTCCGGTCCGGTACGGTACCGGTCCGGTCCCGGTAAATCATTTTTAATTAAAATAAAAAATAATATTTTTGTCATTATTTACTTTTATTAGCATTTCTTTTTTGTTTATTTAATTTTTTTAAAATTACAAACTTAAGTTATTTAACTTACAAATTATAAGTATAACTTAATAACTTATAAACTTCAAAAGATTCAAATCTTTAAAACTTATAACATAACTACATAAGCTCAAAAACTAAAAAAAAAAACTTTATTAAACTTAACTTACAACTTATATATGTAAAAATTAAAAAAAAAAATCTTTAAAATAAACTTAAGTAAAATTATTATAAATTTTAAAACTTAAATACTATAAACTAATATAACTTAGAAAAATAAAAAAAAACATTCGAATTTTCGTAATTTAAAATTACTCAAAAAAATAATTATTTTTTGAAATAGCTATATGTGCCATCCCGTTTATCCCGTTCCGTTCCGTTCCGGTCCATTCCGGTCCGTCCCGGTTTTATCCCGGTATATAGTGGGACGGGATGGAACTGAGCCTCCATCCCGGTAATTTGGTCCGGTTCATCCCGGTACCGGTCAACAACCCGGTCAAACCGTCCCGTTCCGGTCCGGTACCGGTTCGTTCCGGTCCGGTGGTCCCATTCCGGTCCGGTGCCCAGTCTTAGTTGGAAGTGAGGGGTGCTTACCATCCGAGCAACTCCCTCTCGTCTATTATTTTTTATTTAACCACCAAATAAGTAAATTTTATTTACTAAATACATATTCAAAGTAACAATTGAAATTAAAAAAATTCGACTTTCGAAAATTGAACTATATATGACACATAATTCATCCAAAGAAAGTATCAAACTTTGTTGGGAGCATCGTCTCTATAAATATGTTCTATATTGCGTAAATTCAAACATATAGTTGAGCATCGATATGAATATCAACTATCAGATGAAAAATAAACTATGTAATGCGTAAATTTAAATATAAATAAACCTCTATAAAAATATCAAACACGAGAAAACAAGAGAGTGTATCAAACTTCTCTTACATAACAATATTCCATCTCTCATTTACATAAGGTGAGCATATATTTTGTTGGTATCTTATGAAAGAACTTTGACCTACTTTTGTCCTCTTTCATATAGTCTTTGTCTTACCTATTAAGCACTCCTTTCTCCCCCCTCTCTCTCTCTCTCTACTTTCTTCTCTCTCTCTCCTCTTTTTCTTCTACCAAATCCATCTATCTTTCTATCAAAAGGCAATACTAGAGTATTATTACATGTCCACAACAAGGTATGTTTACATGGTCAAAATTGCTTCTCTCAGAAATTAGTTACGAACATCATTGCTAATCTATTGTCAGATTGCTTATATCTAACATTAATTTTTACATATTCTATCACTAATCCATTGCTAGATATATAAGATATTATCGACAGACCTTTTTGTTTAGCTATAAAATTTATCCTCTAATAGTTTAGTTCTAATAGACATACTATACTTTTTTTTTTCTTTCTTGTTTTTTTGTGGATATAGGGAGAGATTGGATGAGATTATTGGGAAGAAGTTAAAAATAGAGAATATTGATGCAAGTTCAAAGTTACATATGCAACAAACTATGGGAAGGAGACATATAATATTGGAGCCTTCATGCACAAAATTGAATACTATTATACCTTGTGCTGCTTGTAAGCTTTTGAGAAGAAAATGTGCTGAAGAATGTCCATTTTCTCCTTATTTCTCTCCACATGAACCCCAAAAATTTGCTGCTGTTCATAAAGTCTTTGGTGCTAGCAATGTTTCTAAGTTGCTCATGGTAAGTACTTAGGCTTGATATTTAGACGTTACGAGTTCTGAATTGAGAAAATAGTTCAATATTTATGTCTCTTTTGCACATATATACATAAACTCGACCCTGAAATACTGAATTCTGTCAAACCTAATTAATTCATTGTTGGATCTACCAATACAACACAAATAGTGGAGAAAATAATAACACTATCTAACCTATTGACTTTATCCTTTTTATCTTTTGTCTATCCACAGATCAAGAATTTAGAAGTTATAGGTTTTAAAGTCAAATAGTTGGATCTGAAATGTATTTCTAACTTCTTATATACTTATATTTTTGGTGCATATACACAAGGTTTTATTCTGAACTATTAAGTTTTGTCTAACTCGCAAACTTATTATTAGATCTATCACTAAAGGATAATAGAATCTACCAATCTTTTTGACTTTTTTTTTAAAAAAAAAAAAATCGTTTAATTGACTCGTTTATATTTGTATATAAGTAGAAAATATTATAACTATTGTTAAACCTTACAAATTTAATTATTGGACAACATTTTACTTTGAATTGAGGTGTAATTGTTATAGAAATAAAACGAATTCATATGGAGTAGGGAAATATATATTAGATTCTTGTACCTAATTTCAATTAGCTTAAAACTGAGACGTAATTATTATTATTTAGTATTTATGTAGAATATTTTTTTTGTGTGTGGAAAAATGTGTAGGAGGTGCCAGAAAGTCAAAGGGCAGATGCAGCAAATAGTTTGGTATATGAAGCAAATGTGAGGCTAAGGGATCCAATCTATGGGTGCATGGGTGCAATTTCAACTTTAAATCAACAAGTTCAATCATTACAAGCCGAGGTTAATGCAATAAGAGCTGAAATTTTGAGATATAAATATAGAGAAGCAACAAATAGTCTAATCATTGCATCAACGGGTATTAATGGAGCCACGGTGACCGTGGCTGAGCTACCTCAAGCTCCTTCTACTCCCACCCATCCACCACGGCCACCGCCTCCCCAAGACTCTTTTGGGGTTGTTATCCCTTCTTGTTCTTCTCCACCTTCAACTCATGAATCTATGTACGCAACTCCTTCTAGTGGAGCCAACTTTAGTGTTATCCCCAACAATAATATAGTACCCTATTTTGACTAGTATGTTGGATGATCGATTTAGGGTTGAATTCAAAATTGAGAATTAATGAATTCATGTGCTCTTAATATATGTATAAATAAGTTTGAATTGAAAATTATGAGTTCAATTGAATGCATAGAAATCTCTTAATTTAGATATGTCTTTGAATTATTATTGTAGTTTTTTATTGCGTAAAGTGATAGAAAATGAATTGTATACTTTAAATTTTGTCCACATAATCACATATACGAGTTCAACCACTTGATGAATCATTTCTTTTGGAAACATATACTAATGTTGGCATTTCTTGCAAGTCTTTTTTTCATAAAAAAAGTCAACCCTACCTTTATTAGGGTTTGCCCCTAGTGTTATTGATTAGAGACGGAGTCAACATTATAACTTGACCAATTCAATATTCTTAGCACCTGAGTACATTGTATACTAGAAATTATGAATAATTCAGATTTAATAATTGAAATTCTAATAAACTTTTTATGTATAAATCTAAGTTAGAGGAGGAAATTGAAGGGAAGGAAGGGGAATTGACTAATTTTGATGGTTGTTTTTGGAGTTTAATGTTTATACATTAAACAATGTAAATATTTTATACCGTTAGATCAACTAAAAAGTAATTATAACTAACATACATAGCAAGTGAAATCATAAGGAGTTGTTTGGTCAATTATGAGAATTATGCAAAAAAAATTCCAAGGAGAATTAATCACTTTTTTTTCTAGGAATAATTATTCAATTTATTTAAAAATTAGTGGTGGTCAAAAATTTCCAAATCCAACTTGGAATTAGATTTTAAATTTGGAAAAGTGCTCCCCATTTTCTTATTTCATCTTCATAAAATTCAAATAAAGTATTACATATATTCTTTCTTTTGCATGCAAAGAGTATAATTAAATAATTTCATATTCAATTTTATAAATTTTAAATTAAAAAAATGAATTTATCACTAAACGCCTATTAAGTAATATCTGTAATATTTTAAATCCCACGTATATAGTGGCGGATTCAGGATTTCCATTAAGGAGGTTTGGAAAAAAAATAAAGACTAAGATTTAAACTTGAAACCTCATCAAGGTGAGTTTTAGACAGCTCAACCACTAAGTCAATCTCTAACCTTACCTTCAAAAGGTTCAAAATCAATATATAGACATAAAAATTTTCAAAAATACCTTATACAAGGGGGTTCGAACCTCCTCAAGTACTTGTAGGTCCGCCCCTGCACGTATATTATGTAAACATTTCATTATTGACTGTTCCACGTATATAAGTTGAATATTTCAAAAATTTATCATAAACAATCTTCATATTTTAGATAAAATAAAAATAAGATCTATATGCATTTCATCGTCTTTAGACCTCAATCATAAAATTATACTGATTCATTTTTTATTACTCTTATTGATCCTTGTTTTGCGTATATGCATTTGTGACTTGACATAGAAAAGCACCAATAATTCAAGAAAAATAGGTGACTGCACGTGTGGGTAGCTGGCCCTTTGTATTTGACTGAATTTAATTAATTAAATTAAAGTTTGATGTACTGATTTTGTGTACATGCAAGTCTGTGCCATTAAATTAAATAATTAAGAACCTAAAATTAAAGTCTTATGTACTCATTTTGTGTACATACAAAATGGACTGTACCATATAAACAAGACAAAAAATAGAATGGTTCTCCAACTTGTCTCTTTATCAGAAATTAATAACCATATGTATTGCATTTCATGCACATTTTTTCAAATTTTTAAGTACTCTCGACGTTTCAATTTATATGATAATCACAAATATTTATAGAATTATAAATTATTATATCAATACAAATTGAAATATAAGGAGTAATAATTATATGAAGCAAAATGAGTCTAGTGAAAAGAGTGAATCATAACACATACGTGGTGAGACCACATACGAAGGAAGATATTTGATGACCGGGGTCTATATTTTTGTAGGAAAACTATCTTATTAGACATAGGGAGAGAGGTGAGCCAGATAGTCATATATCCTAGATACGGCGAACTAGAATTGTCGATGTATCCCACCAGATACATGCGAATCCGATCCACTTGAATATAGTATATCTAGAACAAATTACACTTAATTTTGACCCAATGTATCTCAAGATATATATATGTAGACGCACCAAAATCTAATAAAATTCGTAATATTGCAAACTAGAGTGTATATATCTTAGTAATCAGCTCCTAAACTACCGTAAATTTCCCTATTTTTTGTTGCTATGATGAAATTAAGCACTTATTTAAGTAGTTGACAAATAAATTGAGTAAACATTTAACTTAAATAGATTATAACATAAATATAAATAAGGTTAAAATAATAAAAAATCTCTCCTAAGTAATAATTTTTAATGGGTGTGTAAAACAACAACAAAAAAAGGCTAATAACTTAAAACGTGTGAGTGTGTATTATTTTTGCTAAATAAGTGGTTGATTGTCTTGCAATGCATTTTGTTATCACTGTGAGGGATGACGTTAGAATTTTTATTTTTGAATTACAATCATTTTTGGTTATTGCTATATCTATCAAAGAATTATTATTTTTACACGATTATAGAATTTGAATGATCCTTTTTTGTCTAGTCTGGAAAAATACAAAAAAGAAATATTCTTTTGAAGTACTGAGATTTTATTCATGTAAAACTAAAACAATTAGTTTAATACGGCTGTAATACAAATATTTTCATGTAAGTCAAATAATTAATATATTCCAGGATCATCCAAGAATACCATATATTTTAATTATTAAGATTGATCTTAGTAATTTTTCTATATGTTCTTAAATAAGTGTCATTTTAGTTTATTTTATGTTTATTAAAAGAAAATAATAAATATAAGGTATTATTATCTAAATTATTTCTATTAATTAGATGTTTTTTGAGAATTATTAAAAGGAGATATTTCTTTAATATACGAGGATATAGTTGAAAAAAATTACTATTTTTTTTTTGAATTTCTAAAGCAATAATTATTTTGGGATAACTATTTTTGTTTGTTTTTTTTACTAAAGCGGCACTTGATTATTTTGGGTGTAGAAGATACTTTTTTTTTTAATCTTGAATTCCTAAATGATAATTATATAATCTTTGATCGACATAAATTAATGTAGCCAGACGCTGTTCATATTATCAAGTCATCCTCACATGGCTCATTAATTAGTTTAAATGGAATTATTAAAGTAATGTTCCCTCTTCTTCTTTTGAAAATAGCTTTTAAAATCTGATTGTTCCAAATTTAATAATATAAATAAAAATATCAATAGAGAATCAACAAAGAGACGATTAAAATGAACCGCCTTAAAGTGACATATTTAATCGATCAATTAAAATAATTGCATTATATGGTAGTTAAATATATAAAAACTATATATTGTTTTATAGTAAAATGTATGTTTATATATTTATATATATTCTAATTATTATTTTAGCGGGCAAACCATACTACGTAGTTTTATTAAATATTTTTATGCATTATCCAGCGATACAAAGTTATAGTTTAAATAAACTACAATATATAACTATAGTTAGGATTTTATAGCAAAACTTTTTTCCTCTCTCCCCTCTATGCCCTCTCTCGTTTCTCACCTATCTCTCTACCCTCTATCGCTAGCCTCCTCCTCTCTCTTTGCAATTGACAGAATACAATTATATACAGATCATGTGGCAATGATACATATTCAAATGGTAACACTTAATGAAATACTTGTTTCAGTGATACAAATACAAATGAGATATTTCTATGATATAGAGTCTTGTCTATAATTCAAAAATACAAATGATATATTTCAATGATACAAATACAATTGGTAACTTTCTCAAGGAAACAAATGGTAACATATACAAATATAACTATATATACACAAGGTAATAGATGAATATAAATACACATGAACACAAAATATAATTTGTTACGAAATATAATATTGATGTAATTGTATTTGTTGGTACAAATTATATCCGTCAATACAATGAATACAATTTATTTGTATAAAAAGTTATTATATGTTTAGATTTGGGTCATTTTCTGCTTCTTTTGATACAATTGTTTTCATTGATATAAATTAATTGTATCAAATGTATTCGTGATACAATTATCTATTAAATATACAACTATCGATGAAATATACATTTAATATAATTGTATCTCTTCCCGCCTCTCTCCTCTCTCTAGATCTCGCTCATCTTTCTCCTTCCTCTCTCAATCTCACTCATCTCTCTCCTCCTTCTAACATATAATTATGAATCGTAATTAAATAAACTATAACTATAAATCTCTAATTAAGTTCAAACTGTAGTCATTTCTGAAAGTTCTTCTTTTACCATTAGAGTGAAAGAAAAGCAAACCAAATGCTATGTTCTATCGAGTAGTGTTTTTGTAGGACATAAATTCAAGTAAAATTCATTAATAAACACTTTCAACTCATATAATTAAAAAATAAGTATTGTTATGATGTACACTTATAAAAGTTGAAAATTGATGAATGGAAAATGCATTATTCGAAAAATTCTTGATATAATTTATCGTTTCAGAGAGAAATATGAGAGAATAACATAAATTTGTTCACCTTCTTCTTCTTCAACTGTTTGTTTTATGTATCTTGAATGACAAACGACTATATAAATCATGTTGTATATATAGATTTGGCTCATTTTCTTCTCCTTTTTTTTGGGTATGTAATGTCATTGTATTTCGTTGTATGAGAGATAGACATTTTTTAGCGGTATATTATATATATCTTTAATAGCAGACGATTGTATATAGTATGCATATTGTATCTTCTTGAGCGTGCGGATACATCTTATTGTGACTATATCCAATACGACTTTGAGCATTGATACAACGAAATTGAGCGAACACATATATACACTATCTATCTTGATCGTATCCATCACGACTATATACATTGATACAACGAATTTGAGCGAATACATTGAGGCCCAAATTGAATATATGGGTTTCCAACCCTCAAAAAAAAAAGCCCAATATATTTCATTTTCAGAATATTCATTTGGCGCCAAAATCAAGCTCATTCTGATGCCTTCAATGGCGGCGTTCACACTTAAGCCAAACTTCCTGGGAAATATTCTGGTCCGACTCGTCTCTTTCATAGTTCTCGTCTTCCTCGCTCGTTTCGCTTACATCTTCACCGTCAAAGGCAAATCATGTAACTCCGGCGACTTCTGCTTCTTGCCGGAAACTCTAACTCTCAACATCGCCGGTTCAAATCCTAATTCCATTGATTTACCGGATTCCGGCACCGATCTCCGGAACTACTATTACTCCATCTTCCAAGATCTCATCGCCGACGGCTTTATCTCGCCCAACTCTCACTCTTTGTGTATTGAAACCCTAACTGGCCAAGACGTAGAAGCATTGATCAACGTCGGAGTCATCGATTCCATCGGCATTTTCCACAAATCATCTCCGCCGTTGATTCGATACGGTCACGGTCATCACCAGCCGTTCGATGATGACACATTTCATTTCGAATTCGCCGGAAATGGAGTACTCGACCGATCTTCGAAACCGGTTGAATTTGCTAAAGAAGTTTACAGAACATTGAAGCCTGGGGGTATTTTCGTCATTCACACTATATCGAAAGACGATTACAGTCTCAATTCGTTGATTCAATTGTTCAGTTCCTTCAAATTGATCAGCTCAATTGAAATTGACAGTTTCACAACGTGGCGGCCGCGTATACGCCAAGTAATTTTCAAAAAGGTGACACAATTCGAACCTATGATCACCCATTGTACGAAAAATACATGTGTTGATTTCGAAAAATCAAAAAATTACTGTTATACCCCTGAGTATAAAAGGGAATTAATTCGAAAAGCAGAGTCGTTAATCGAAAAAGAGCCATTTCAATGGATAAAATTGAGAAATGTGAAGTATTTGTCTTCAATGGTTGATATTAGCTTCAAGAAAAGGTACATATATGTTGATGTTGGAGCAAGGAGTTATAGTTCAAGCATTGGTAGTTGGTTTAACAAACAGTATCCGAAACAGAACAAGACGTTTGAGGTATACGCGATTGAGGGTGATAGGGAATATCACGACGAGTATAGGAGAAAAGGTGTCAATCTTTTGCCATATGCAGCTTGGTTGAGGAACGAGACGTTGTTCTTTGAGATTGCTAGAGTACAAACTAGGAAGAATGTGGAGAAGGGTCGAGGACTGGGGAGAGTACAATCAGCACAATCGTCGTTGGATTTCTTATGGGATTCGGATAAGATTATGGGGTTTGATTTTGCTGGATGGTTGATGAGTTTGGTTGATGATGAAAGGGATTATTTGGTTGTGAAAATGGATGTAAAAGGGAGTGAGTTTCATTTGATAGAAAAGTTGATTGAGAATGGTGCAATTTGTTTGATTGATGAGTTGTTTCTTAAATGTCATTATAATAGTAAAAGATATGATAAGACATATACACAATGTTTGGAATTGTATTCTTCTCTAAGAGATATTGGGATTCTAGTACATCAATGGTAGTTGATTAGTGATATTGTAATCTTTGATTCTTTGTGTACATATTTTCATATGTCAAAAGTGAAAAGAGTGTTGTATAATTACTACCTCTTTTCCGAACTGCTTTGTCATGCTTTATATAGCATTTTACCAGGACCTGTAACTACTTATTCATTTCTTTATCGATATGTTTTGAATTGTTTTCAAAACTATACTAGATTTGTAAGGTGGTAGTTGGTGGTAAATATTGAAAGTCAGATCATATATAGTCATCGCAACATAATATAGAAATAAGAATGTACCATCATTATATCGAGTTGTGGTACTATTTTTTGGTGGAGCAGATGATCGCGAAGCTTTGTCATATGCAGAACGAATGTCTGGACATCCTAGTGTGAAAATGACACTCATACATTTCACAAGATCAGGTAATGCATACGAAAATATTGTTGGTGGCTCGGAGATCGAGAAGTAAGGTTCTTGATTCTCAAATCTTGAATGAATTCAATCTCCAATTCCTTCATTCGGAACAAGTTTCTTATCAAGAAGCAGAGGTGAAAAGAGGCGCGGATGTGTTAAAAGTTATTAAATCGTTGGGATGTTTTTATGATCTTGTTATCGTTGGTAGACGTCACGTAGACTCGCCAATTTTGTTACAATTGGCAAAGAGGAATAATGAGGATAGTGAATTGGGTGTTGTAGTAGGAGTTCTTGCAGCCTCAGAATTTGAAAGTGAGACTTTAGTTTTGGTAGTGCAGCAGCAAACAAGATTATGGGGACTTCATGATCCTGAAGAGTCTACACATTTGAGAAGGATCAACTTATAGTTGCTCGGACTCTTAAAAAATGACGACACGTGCATGTCGGAGATTCTGAAGAGTCTACACATTTGAGAAGGATTACTTATAGTTGTATAGACCTCTATGTTGCTTGGACTCTTCGAAAATATCAACATGTGCATGTTGAAGATTCTGAAGAGTCTATACATTTGAGAAGGATTAACTTATAGTTGTATAGCCCTCTATGTTGCTTGGACTCTTCAAAAGTGTCGATGGGTGTGTATCGGATCCTGAAGAGTTTGCACATTTGAGAATGATCAACTTATTATAGTTGTATAGACCTATGTTTCTCGAGCTCTTAAAAAATAACGACACCTGCATGTCGGATTCTGAAGAGTCTACACATTTGAGAAGGATTAACTTATAGTTGTATAGATCTTTATGTTGCTTGGACTTTTCAAAAATATTGACGGTGCGTGTTGGACCCTCCAAAAATAGTGCATTTCTTGAGAATCTGACACGACTGATGTAACATTTTTGATATATAGGTATAGACTATTCCAATATGAATTGTTTTTGTCCCAATTTGTACCACAATTTTCCCTTTTGGGATGTCCAAAATGCCCCATTTCTACTAATTCTACTACTTGTTCTTATTTAGTAGATCTTTAAACACATATACAGGATTCGAGCTAAAGTTTATGGGTTTGTATGTATTCATAAATTCATAAAAAATTTCTTGGTTTACTAGTTTTTTTGGCTGCTTGTCAATATTTAGCCAACATTTGAAATGTGATTGAGAAATAATCATTTCTTAATGTGTAAATAATATCTAGACAAAAATATACCTAATTAAAACACGAAACAACTATTCAAACCTTTACTAGTGGTACTACAACACAAGGTGTTGAGTTAGAGATTCTATTGGAGTTTACAAACTATCATAACGTTAGTGTTTATAATTCTATTGTTAGGTGTCATGCTACATATGATACAAATGATTTAACTGATTTTTTCGTTAGAAAATTATATTAGTGTACGGTGAATATCCTCGCTACAAGAAAAATGTTTTTAAAAGTAAGATGACATGGCATGCACATTGCATACAATGTCGAATTGTTGATGTGGCAATATTTCCATATTATTTTTGCGATGCCAATTTTTTTTTACTTTTCAACGAGTAATTGTATCTTCTGAGAAGTTAACATGAATTCGTTTTGTTATATTTTTAATGTATCAAGAGTGAATCTGACTAATTTTTAAAGTTAAATTAAATTCAATAATTTAAAATTAAAATATTCAAAATTAATCGAAAAGTACCATAAATTGCAAATCTTTTCATATTAATACGATGAAAAAAAAAATACATTTTAAAATCTCAAAAAAATAAAAAATATATCACATAATATAGAACATATGAAGTATATAGATTCAGTGACTTTGATGAAACAAAAATAGTTCTCAAGTGTGACATTCTTACATATTTTTTCTCCATTCCATCCCAAATGTGCTCCCACATATCCTTCAACATGATTCGAACAGTCACACTATTAATTGATAATGGAGGTATTCAACGATTAAAATAAACTTCACTTATCTGACATTCTTATATTTATATTTGAATCTCCTTATTAAAATTTTCAAATGGATAGTGCTCCCACTTACCCTTCAATATGATTCAAATGGTCACACTGTTGATTGATGATGGAGGTATTCAACGACTAAAACAAACTTCACTTATCTGACATTCTTATATTTAGTACTTTTGAATCTCCTTATTAAAATTTCTGACTCCGTCCCCATTCAAACAATCTTCTATCAAAGATATGATACAAGTGTCAAGATTGACAAAATGTATAGAATAGTACCTACTAGTTTCTTGAATCTAGAGATGGACTTCCCCACATATATATTAAGAGAGTCAATCCAAGTTCTTAATTCCCTTGGGAATTGTGAGGTGAGTTGTGAATTGTGGATGAAGGCCGTGAACTTAGGTTTACAAAATCTTTATGATCCCAACTTATATATTCTTCTTTTTGTTTATTAATAATCTCATTGCCAAAGTTGTTGGAATCAATAAAAATATATAACTATACTTCTTAAAGAATACTTTCTATGTTAGCTTTTTATTTATTTATTTTTAGAGGTAATTAGTTTATTTTTAGAGGTAATTACAATTCAACGTCTTTGAATCTCATGTGATACATTTTTCTTTTTAGTCAGTCCCGAAAAGAATGATATATTTCTATATAAATTTCTATTTTGTCCTTAATGAGATGATTTATAGTTATGCAAACATATATGACTTGTTTTAGATAACTATTTTAAAAGTATTTCTTTCTTTCTTTCTTTCTTAAATTTTATATCGAGTCAAACAACATTATATAAATTGAAACGGAACGAGTAAGAACCTTTGACACAATATGTAAAAAGGTTCTAATGTTCTAGCAATCTACCCACCCACCCAAAAGAAGGAAAGTTAGCATTTTTAGTCCCTCAAATATCAACAAATTAATTATTTTGGTCCTTGTGACTTTTGAGGTTGAGCATATGTAATCTTTAATTGATTGATATGCGTATTTTGGATTCTTTTATCGGTGTATCTCCACAAATTTAACGAATTATTAAGTATTAGATTATGCAATTATTACGTGTTATGTGAAATTTATATTATTACTCCATATTTGAGGAAAATATAGTTAAAAAACAGTCTAATAAATATTACATATTTCTTAAATGGGATCAAAAATACATATTTTAGTTGATTAGAAGTTAAATATACTTAACTAAATAATACAAGGATCAAAATTAAAACTTATTAGTGACTGAGGTCCAAAAGTACTATTTGTCTAAAAGAAATTCAAACACAATAATATGTTCGTGCGCACTACATATAAATTGATAATAAATTCTTTCAAAATTGACTATTTGCTAATTCTTTCCATTAGAAATTTTCTAGAAATATAGCAATCGAGTAAATATTTTTCACGAAGAAATCGACATCCCAATTATAAACAACATATTTTTTTTTCCAATTTATGTGATACTGAAATTTCATGAAATCGGATAAAAAAACTTTAACTTTTTTTTAATAATATTAATATATTTGAAAATTTTGTAAAAAATATTATAAATCATAATAAATAATTAAAATTTTAAAATATTTTAAAAACATATAAATAAATTTTAGTCTAAACTTGTTTGATTGACTATCAAATTTCAATTGTATCGCATAAATTAGGACGAAAAAATATCCATAATATCACGGAATTGGGGGTGGGGAATCATGTGAGATCTGAGACACATTATTTAGTTAATTGGTATTTTTCCAGCTATTTTTGTCATTCTCTAATTATTATTATTATTATTATAGTAATAGTAATATTATAATTATTATTTGGTTGTAACATGGACCTAATTTTGGAAGTATACATACATGCATGTATATTAGTGTACGGCTCAATTATTTTGCACCGTTTTTGTCCCCATCTTCAATTATTTTGTATTTATTCCTACTCCATATATGTACTTTATAATAAACTTTTAAAATAAATAATAATAATAATAATAATAATAAGAGATAAGGCTATAAAGTTTGAAGTACCATCAATTCAAGCATGACATATATACAAGTAAGATATAAATATATACAAATAAGATATATAATTCATATTTTTTTTTATATAATATTTTATATTTTAAATTCTTTTAGTGTAACTTCTGAATCTGCGATCGATAATAAATAACACCCTTTGTTGCAAAAATTGAAGCAATCCCACACAAGCCATAAAAGCAAGATATCACTTTGAGTAACATTACACATTGTTGTTAATGACAATATAATTGCTAGCTATAGATAAATTAACCTCTTTTTTAAATAACTAGTATTTGATTTTACTTTAGAAGTAAGAAGGAAATTGTCAACATATTTAAGAAACTCTAGGGTATATATATAATATAATATAATGCTTATTTTTTAAAGTGAGTGGCTATTGTATCAGTTTTTTTTTAAAAAAAAACATAATTAATATAATTTAACTTGTTATAACAAATTACATACCATGTATTATACTCCATTTATTTCATCATTTTATATAGCTTCTATATTGAACATAGTTTTTTTATTTTACTTGTCCATTTTAGCAAATTAAGAAAATATTATTATTATTTTTTCTAATACTACCCTTAGTACTAAATAACGATATACGTAGTAATAGTCAAATTTAGAATTTACTAGAGCAAGATATATATATATTGGCAATAGATTTTTCTTTTAGTGACAATTGAGTTAATGTCATTGCATCCAGAGTTGCTAAAATCTTTAGCGGCATTTATATTCAGTGTTGGTTATAAATATTCATATTACATTATTGTCTCTGCATCATTTATCTTATCTTCCAGATGAGATAAATTAGTCCAAAAATTATAATCTCAAAATAATTTAATACATGTACCAAACGATTCAATATTAAATATTAAATATTAACATAATATAAAATCTTTAACATTTAGCCATTTATGTTTATGTTAATCATTCATAGATACTCCCTCCGTCCACAATTATTTGGCAGGTATACTAAAAATAGATGTCCAAGATTAATTGTCAATTTAAACAATCAAGAAATAATTAGTCACTTTTTTCCAATTTTGCCCTTAATGATAGTGTAGTTCAATTGAAAAGTTATGTGGACTTTTGGTATTCTTGGTATAGTAGGGTTATATTAGTTAAATTACACCTTATATTAAATTTTCCTTGAGGGATGTGCATGACCTTACCCTGACAAACAATTGTGGACGGAGGGAGTATAAGTCTTTAGCAAAAAGGAACCCCGCGTAAGCCATCGCAGCTGGTTATCACTTTGACCAACATTACACATGCTTATTAATGACACTATGATTGCTAAAAATTAAATTAATTAACTTCTTCTTTTGTATATAACTAATTTTTTTTATTGACCAGGATCGTGGTGGGTGATAAATTAAATATTCTTTCATTCTTAATCAAAGGTCTTGAATTTGCCAGTTCAAGTCCCTGTGTGTACAAAGTTGCCTTTGTTAGAGAGTGTTTTACCCCTCAATGTAGGACTTTCCGACCTGAATCCATATTTAGTCAGACTTCAATATGGATACCAAACACGGATGAGAAACCAAAAAAATAATATAACTAATTGCTTTACATTAAAGGTAAGAAGGAAATTATTTACTAAGCTAACTATCAAAACAATCATTGAAGTTAACCTATTTTGTTAATTAAATGACAACTAAATTATTAATTAAGTTTGATAGTATTAAAGAAAAAGAGAACATTGAATAGTTCCATAGTTTTAATTCCCCCATTTGGCCTACATGGGTGCCCGTGACACGACTACATAACTAATTATTTCCAGATCATCCAAATCATAAAATAATGTAACCCCCCTAGCTAATTATGATTGATATAATTTGACAATTAGTGATATTAATTAAGTATTTCAAACCATGTTACTAGTTTAATTTCTTCATATCATGAAAACCAACCCCCCACAATGAAAAATGTGAAGGAAAATAGTGTAAAGAATTTTTACACACAATATAGAGTTGCGGATTGACAATGTGTTCGCTTATGAGTTTTGATAGAAATTCAACGTTTTAGTGTCGCAATCATACATATGTGTGAAAAAAGGTATAAACAAAGTTAAATATTCATTCTAGAACTGAATACTCTCTCAATTCAGAATCACAATCTATAGATTCTAGATTTGTCATTTTACGCAACAAAATTTTACTTTTTATTTCAAATCAGCTTAAAATCGACTTTATGTTTTGCTTGGGACTTAGGATCAAGAAACTAGAACAATCGAAATGTGTTCGCTTGTTGAACTTGGCAGAAACCTAACATATCAAATCCGAAATTTTGAACCTCACACAACGTCTAAATTATGAAAGTATCAATGTGCATAAACATCGAAATTATACCTTAGAGAAATTATAGAGGAAATAACATATATACATAATACAAGTTGTATATATATACTAAAGTTGAATTGATATCAAACATATATACATAATACAAGTTGTATATATATATATATATATTAAAGTTGAATTGATTTCTCAAAAGGAGGAAACTCTTGTATAACATTATAAAAAGTTCATATTGTGAAGCCCCAAAAATTTACAAGAAAGAGGAAAAAAACAAAAAAAACAATACTTTTCTCACTCTTCTATTTTTGAAGAGAGTTCAAAGTACAATCTCCTCATCTTTGAGTACAACTTCCAAAAGTACTCTCCAATCTCTCTCTCATAAATTTCATTGGGCTTATAATATCCCTTTTCAATCCAAATCTGCTACTATTAAATGCAGATGGAAAATAAATAAACATTAAAAAAAAGATTAAAAATATCTACAAATATTAAAAAGTGAAAAAAAAACAAGAAAAAAGAAAATCACCCTTTTCATAAGGGTAAACAAAAAAAATTGACTTTCTTTCGTACCAAAAACAAACTTTAGTCTTCAGAAATGCTAGTGAGATGAGGCCTCCACACAACAACCTTCCCGCTCTTACTCCTCCGGTGAGACAATGACTTCTTTAATTTTGGCATTGTACTATCACTCGAAAAATCGCCATCATCGGGAATGCTGACGTGGCATTTCTTATTATTGGTTGTTTTTGTAGTAGTAGTAATAGTATTTTTTGGTGATTTCTTGATTGAGGAGGATGTGATCCCGGATTTTTTCTTCTCTGGGACAGAAGATGCCGGAATCAAGAAGTATATACTTCCCCTTTTGAGCTCGGATTCCGGCGATAAGATCAGAATCCGGCGAGCCATTGTACCTTGAGAGCATGGTTTACTCAAAACATGATTAGGGTAATTTTTTAGAACTTCATACGCTGTGATTGGACTTGTAATTTCTTCAACATGACCATTTAAATGTACAATACGAATTAAATCAAGTGCACCACAAGGAAGAACACAAGCCAAACAACACCTTAAACTATTTCCCATAATTTGATCAAACTAATCAAATCAAAGTTTTTTTTAGAGAAAAAATGAATAAATTTTGTGTGAAGGTTTTTTTTGAATGTGATTATAACATTGAGTTGATTGGATTGGAAAGGGGGATGTTATATAGCAACAATCATACTCATGTGTGGACAAACAATAATGTGTAGTGAAATGACCAAAGTACCCCTTTAGGAATAATTTAATTTGTATTCACTAACTATAGTTTGAGGAACTTTTTTCTTACCACCTTTATTGAGGTGAAGTTAGAATTTCAGATTTATGAATTCTGAATTTTATAAAATGACGAATTCAAATGTTAAATATCCAGATTTTAAATTAAATTTATGTGTATATATTTAGTGAAGTTTTAACATAAATAGTATACAATTTGAATAAAAATGGTTGGATTCTATTGAACCCCCTATATGGATGATTATCTATTGTTCTCTTTTAGGTCAATGACAAATATAACTTTAGCGTTGTGGATTCAACTCAATTCTGAATTTTAATTTAACATAAAGAATATATATACATGCATAAAACAATAAAATTTTAATAAATATTAGATTTTGAACTCATAATTTAAAAATATATGAAGTTAGTGTTAAGAATAAATTCATCAATTAAAATTTTGAATTCGCCTCTATTTTATTAAAAGTTATTTTACATACATTACCAAAATATAGAAATTATATTCAAAATTATTTGACCTAGGATGCCTTCATTGAGTGTAATAATTTTGAGAATAAAATGCAATAATTGCGGATTTCTTGTACCATTTCGTGCAGTGTGTAAAAGAAAAGTGAGAGTTCAAACAACTTCAAGATATTTTATACTATCAATGTAATTTTACTTATTATAACAAATAATTTGATATTTTTAAGGTCTCAATCAATATTAATTGTAAAAGGTTGTAAACTCAAAAGGGTGACAGAGTTGATTGAGTAAGTGATCTCCCAAAATAAGGTCGCAGATTCGAAATCTCCTGAGCTTATCGCACATGGCTTACTTATCTAATGCATTTTACCTCTCCTATATAATTTGTGGACTCTTATATTAGAGAAAAATTTACCTTATATGCACCCGAAAGATAACAACTACGAGTTCACTCAACTAACAAAATAAAATTTGAAAAAGTTTACAAAATAATTTAAGGTACATATGACTTGGTACTCTACTTAAATTACCAAATTTAGCACCTACCATACCTAATAAACATATCAAAGCGTGTATATATGCTTATTGACCTACCAAATATGCATAAATTAATTTGTCAAGTACAAGAAAAATAGGAATTTGTATCATAAGTTACGATCTTTAATTTCTGATTGCTTGATATTTTTCTTGATTTTTAGCATCAATATTGACAAGTAATTTAGGACCTACTATCATTGACAAACCTAAAGGTTAACTTACGAGGTCACTAGAAAACAATAATTTTTACTCATATTTTATGCATATTTGATTGTCAAACTAGTTCATTCGACATTATGGTAGTAACTAATAATACATAAACTTCATATTTTGAATTCGTCTATGCCCTCGTAAGGGATATTTATGGAATTCACAATTTTAGGAAGAAAAAGATTAGTTTAATAAGTTAAATTAAATTAATCCAAGTGTTAATGACATTCAATGGATCCCAACTGCAAGTCACCGTGAATATAGGCATTACAACTCTGCAGTCAGTCATTAGGTACGGAAAAAGGCAAAAAAATAAATATTTTCTTTTTAAAAATAAATAAATATCTTCTTTTTTAAAATAAACAAATAAATAAAATCTGCAAGTATTCTCTGACCTATACTCGTTTTTTCTAAAATTAAAAAATAAAACTTAAAGACGATTTGTAATATAAATAATACTTTAAAATTTGTATTATTCCAAAGGGTTTAATTCTAATTAAAGATTGAAAATAAAATCTGATTAATGATGGGATCAGTTTGAAAATTTGAGCATCTTGGTCTTCGAGTAAAATAGGGTGAGATAATTTTTTCTTATTTCGGATTTCGATTAATCTAGATTTATACGTGTAAGGACCATTAAGGGGCAAATTCTACCCAATTGATAGGAAGAAAAATAAGTGTGTTTGTCATTTATTTACTTTTGATCGATTTGTAAGTAAAATTCCCAAAATAATATACTGAAAAATCAGTATATTACGTAGTTAAATATCATTGTAGAATGCCACTATAGAACATGTTTTTCTCTACTTTCACTGAAACTTGTTTTTTTTTTTTAAAATAACCAATAAAATATGAGAAAATTAAATTCCTTCATGCCGAGCACACTTTAAAGAGTAAATAAAAATTTACACGCAAAACTTGAACGTGTAACCCTGATTCAAAATAAAAGAATCATATTTATTCCGCAATACTCATTATTAAATTAGGAAGGGTGAGATACTTCTAATAGTGCAGGTTCTAACAGAGAGAGCTTTATCCATGATTTATTTATTTATCTTATAAAGCAGTTAAATAGTGTGCTACAAAAAAAATGGCATATTGACAAAACCAAAATTACAGTGGTCAAAGATATTTTTTTAAAAAAATAGAATAGTATTCGAGTCAATTTACACACACTTTAGTTAATTTATTGAGTATTTATCTTTAATTATATAGCTCTTAAATATATTTGTCTACTAAATCTTAGACTGATCAACCAAAACAAATCACCTAAATTTTCTTGCATCTTTAATGAGATTTGAACCTTAATTTCCCACGATATATTATATTTTCGTTCGATTGGCCATGAAATCATAATATTGTATGTTAGTGGCCGATATGTTTTTTATCATCAAAAAATGTGATTGGATGAATCAAATCCGATTCCTCCATACTTAATCAAAACTTTTAAATTTGAATTTTGAGAATATAGAAATTTCTAGTAAAGAGTACTTTCTTTTTAAATAGGCTCTATAAAATATAAATCTGAAATAGTCGAACAATTCATTTCCAATATCAAATGATGTTTAAAAAAAAGTGTAACATTAATTTTTACTTCAAACCATAGTTAAATATCATACATGATTTAGAATTGCACCTTCGATCACAAGTGAAAGTCCACTTTTTTTTACATTGGTTCTCAAAATAGGGGGGAAAACAACAAATGTTGCACCTCCTTTATCCAGCATAACATCATTTTTTATGGCTGAATTCTATATTAATGTTGTAGCAAAATCATACAAAATCCCATGTTTTCACCTAGATAGGAGTGTACGTTGTCGGGTTGGTTCAGGTTTTTCAAATATCAAACCAAACCATTTGTGTCAGATTTTTAAATCTACAAACCAAACCAACAAAACTCGAGTTTTTCAACCTCAGATTTTTTCGGATTTTTCGGATTTTTGGGGTTTTCCGATAAAGTGTTCATATAAACATAAAATTTACTTGTACTTCAAATATTTCTTTAGTCCTATCAAAATACAACTATCTAAGGTGTTTCTTAAGAAAATAACAGAAAATATTATATGAGTAATGACACTAAAATATCCAACAAAAAAATAATAACAATGAAATCGCGTAAAACAAATATTGCAAATTAACAAGTCATAATGAAAATGATCATAATTTAAAAGTACTAAATCATGCTAAAATAAGTTTAATAAGTAGTAGTTACATGACTAAATATTAAAGGAAATTAAAATTAGATTATGTATTTGAATTGTCTAAACCAATGTAAAATCAAAGAACAAATATTCATTATTATTGTCATTCTTATTGTTGAATTGATTTTCTTTTTGCATTAGTATTAATTTGATTTTGATTTAAGCTTTATTATAATTACCAACATTTGTGGACTATAATCTTTATTGAACCATTTCTAAGTTTTTCAAACTTGAAATAATATATTAAAAGATAAAAACTATGAAAAAGTATAAGAAATATTTAAAAATTATATCAAAGTAAATATTTTTATGTATAAAATAAAATTTTAAAATTATATATATAATGTCGGGTTGGTTTTTTTTAAGTTAAAACCAACCCAACCCAAATATAGTCGGGTTTTTTTTTCAATACCAAACCAAGTCAAACCAACCACTAGTCAAATTATTTTTCTCGGTTTTCGGTTCGGTTTTGTACACCCCTACACCTAGTTATAGTTACCACTATATTTCATTGAATTTTAAATTATACTCCTTCCATTCCATTTTATGTGAGGTAGTTTGACTCGGCACGGAATTTAAGAAAGAAAGGAAGACTTTTAAAACTTATGGTCCAAAAGAAATGATAGAAATTTGTGTGACTGTAAATCATTCCATTAAGGGTAAAATAGATATTTTATAGTGAAATTGTTACTTAATATAAAAATGTATCATTCTTTTTGGGATTGACTAAAAAGTTTCGTAAGTCACATAAATTGGGACAGAGAGAGTATGTGCTATGTATAGTGTAAAAAGATTAAAAAAAAATTATATTACTATTATAGTTTAATAGACACTTATGATCTAATTCTTTCACAAAGTCGTGCATAGCGAAAGTTTAATGCGTTGAACTCGCCTAATATAGTTTAATATTTTAACATGTTAGTATTATTTTAGCATAGTTGGTATTTATCATTAAAATTTACTTATAATTATCTCTTATAAACGATCTTATTATATGAATGTTTCTTATACCATCATGGCGTACAATTTTAAATTTATTTTCATTTATTCAATTAGTATAATTGATGTTAATATACACCAAACAAGGATAATGATAGAGTTGTAAATATTTTTTCATTTTCAGAGGTTCGAGCACTACTTGGTGCAAGATCGCCTTTATTAGCTAGGGACTGGACCGCTTTAGCTCTAATATAAGACTTTCCAGCATGAATTCAAACTGCTGACACATAACACACACCCCACCCCCACCTTTTTTTTAAAAGAAAAAAAAAATCTCAAATGTTGTGGTGAGTGGTGACTTGTGTTTTAAACTAAAGTACATCAAGTACTACATGAAAGTTGCACAAATTGTGACAACTTGAACCATTATTAATTAAAAACATAAAAATTAGTCCTTCAATTAGTCCAAGAGTCATCTAATTACTATGTTCAATAAAGTTAATCATTGGATTTGTTGTCAAAC